GAGCAGGCTGGGGAGTAAGCGAGGTGAGTGTACCAGGGAGAGCCTCCAGGCGAGGTGGACCAGCTTGACAGAGACAGGAGTGATTTGAGTGGGTATTCCACACCTCGGTCACAGGAGTTCACACACACTGTGGAGACAGACCGTCTGGCAGAGACTAGCAGCTGGAGCTGGTCCTTAAATTCAGGTTGGTCATGAGGCTGATGAAAACGAGGCGTGGGAAGTCTGTGCTCCACAAGAGCCTCTGCTCAGCTCCTCCTGGACTCAGGGACGGTTACAGACTCCAAAACAAACTGAGCAGAAGTGGGTTTGTTTCAAAGAAAGAAGAAATATACAATATAAATCATATCAAATTTTATTGTAAAAGTGAGAATTAAATGGGACTAAAGCTCAGCTATAAAGATTTCCACAGTCAAATTTCCATCTATTCCATTTTCCAAAGAAGAAAGAATTTGTGTGTTTAACATGAACATTTGCAGGTCCAGCCTGCGACCCTGGTGACCTCTGGGATTTCAAGCTTGAATTAGAGGCTTGAATAGGTCCGCTCAGCCTTTCAGTCTGTCTCCAGCCAACACTGTCAATTTAGGCCACGTCCACACTGTTGCATTTTCGACTAATGTGTCATCGTTTTCTCTCCGGTTTGGCCTCCCGTCCACGCTGAGACGGCGTTTTCAAAACGCTCTCGAAAACGCACACATTTGGAAATGGTGCGTTTGCGTCGCAGTGTGGACAGCAAAAACGGAGACTTTCTAAAACAATGACGCATGTTAGTCATGTGATGCAGTCATGTGACTAATTAAACAAAGACAGCGGAGGGCGTTACACAGCAGCTGTTTTGTTTGACAGCTCTATTAAAGATGAATATCAGCCTGCACGCGCTCCAGAGAGCTTTTCTTCAAATTCTTTAATTCTCACTCGCTTTTGCAACTTTGTACTTTTGTGTTACTCGCAGCAACATCTCCACCTCATTGTGAGTCCATTTAAAAAACTCGCTGCTTTTCCTCCACATTTTGCTGCAACGTTTCAAAGAGCCGGAAAGTAAATAAGCGGCAGACGGAAATGAGGCAGGCCGAATCTTCTTGCGCTTCACGCATGCGCAGAACTGGAACGTAAGCGTTTTCGGCCGTTTCAATGTGGACGCACAACTGTGTGAAAACGACTGAAAACACTAGTGTGGACGCGGAGCGCTTTCGGAAGGAAACGCCGTTTTCAAATCTGTCCGGGCCGGTGTGGACGTAGCCTTAGCATGCGACTTTTTTCATTTTTCTTATGAAAATACAGTATTTCAAATTTCCTTTTGTTTCCTAAGCACACAATAATGTTAATGATGTAGCGTGACTACATTTACCGTTAGCCCTATGATGCCTGCAGGGCAGGGATAGCTCAGTAGGTAGAGTGGTAGCCCCATGATCAGAAGGTCGGGGGTTCGACTCCACTGAACGGCTACCCTGAGGTACCCCTGAGCAAGGTACCGTCCCTACACACTGCTCCCCGGGCGCTGCACTGGTGGCTGCCCACTGCTTCACTGGGTGAATGGGTTAAATGCAGAGGAACTATTTCCCTATGGGGACTAACACGCACACTTTACACCCTGTCCTGTCCGGGGTGTAACCCCTCCCCCTGTTTTCTCCTTTTGAGTGACGATTCCAAACTGTCCATTTATCCCAAACTGAGTCATTCATTGAAAACATCGGCTAATAAATTGGTGTGTTTCAGTGATACTTTGAGCTACAATAAATGTACAAAGTGTCCACTTAAAGTGGCTCTCAGGTGTTATGGTGGACAGAGCCCGCTCAGGCTGAGATGCTCTTGTGAGCTCTGAGGTAACGTTGTGACAGAGCAGTGAGGAGAGACGCTCTTTAGAAAACACTTTACAATTCTAGGGGTGTCTGTGAGTGCTATCTATGCAACAAGTGTCTTTTCTTGGATTCAGTGCAGCAACAGATGATGTGTGAACAGAGGCTGATCATTCCTCTGCAGCATCATCATGCTAAGTTTACCATTAACACAATACACGTCGTCCAACAGTGCACACATTGTTAAAGCTTAGGCTGTGTTTATATCACATTCATAACCTCGTACTCTCTGTATAACTGCAGAAACCACAGCAGTAACCAACAAGGTGTGACGGCTGCGGGGCCGACGTGTGAGGAGTTTGAGACAGGATCCTGAAGCAGGCTCTGGCTTGGAAGTGAGCGAGTGTTTATTTACACAGGTGGTGCAAACAGAAACACGGCGAGCAAAGCAAAACCTGAAGGTGACCTAAACTGGGGATGACTAACCAAACGAACCTGAAGGGAAGACTCCGGGAGAGAACGCAGGGAAGAAACACAGACGGACGAGCAACTAACACGAGTGAACACGCACTATAAATACACAGAAGGGAACGAGGAAACTACACTCAGGAGGGAGGCAGGGGAAACTGAACACACTGGCATAAACACAGACTTTCACAATAAAGCAGGAAACTCCAAACACACGCGAAGACACAGACTCAGAGACGCGGGCTTTACACAGAGACCTGACTACACTAGAGGGGGTACACAGAACAGAGGGAGCACAGAATTAACTCTGGGAGGTCAAATAACAAAACCCAAAAATCAGAACTCAGGATGTACCACGAAACTGGGGAGCTAGAAACACTAGGACAGAAAACCCAAACAAACCATTATGAAATCAAAGGTAAAAGCACAAAGACCAAAACCACTGGGTCACTGCCCCAGGACCGTAACACAGGGGTTGTTAGGGTAAGTTAATGTTGTGGTGGTAATATATGACTCCATGGCCTGTTTTGTCTAACACACAGTCAGATCTCACTTTCAGTTTAAATGAGGTTGAAATAAGTCATAGCTGGACCCTCGACTACTGACATGACTCGTCTTTCCCACGTTGAACCTGTTAGAGGTGCACATCTCTGTGAGAGAGTGCGATAGCCAACGAGAGCCCTCGTTCCATATTGTAATATAGTTTCACTAAAATATGTCGGGAATCCTTCTACTCTAAACAGTTTGCAAAAATCAAGGAGATGACTTAGAATCCAGATTTTAAAATTCTGAACTTGAACTTAATACATGTCTTGTTTTTGAGTCATAATAATAATGTCATTGTTCACATCAGGAAGGCTGACGTATCTGTGGTGCGCTAGGCTGAAGAGGAGCTTTCAGTGAGGAAGCCTTGAAAAATTAAAAACACTCTTTTCACCTCATCAGGTTTCTTTTGTCTAACCGAATAATGTTTCCAAGTACTGCTCTGATATTTGAGGGCTTATTTGAACATACACTGTGCCAGCACAGCACAGCCCTACACTAGCAGGGGTTAAGGAGCAATCAGAGCGCGAATCCTGCACACATCAACTTTGACTCGGATGACGCTGGGATGAGAACAAAGCTAAAATGCATCACAATGTCAAGACCTGCAATTTGAAGCTGTCTTTTCTTCAGCGGCTCTGTGGAATTGGAAGCAGCAATAAAAGATAACTGACATTGTTCTCATTTCACTGCTGTATTCCCCCTGATTAATTATCATCAAAGCATGTCTAATCAGACATAACAAACATGCTTAATTGGAACAGTTCTGACCTGTTTGCCCAGTGGTGTGCAGAGTATACTGTGGGAAACGGCCTGTGCAAACGTGCTACAGTACCATTATTTTTAATTGAGTTGTGGCGCAAACGCCTCACACGAGCTTGCAGACATCAAACAGCAGCACAGCATATGCAAACACGATCTCTATAGACAGACTCTACACATGAATATGGATCATTTGTAAGCAAGGGGTAATATTTCTATACCCTCTGCTTTCTGATCCCTGTTTGTAGTCCCAAGTGCTATTGACCAATCACATACGAGCAGATTAAATGTAGCCAAACAGTCAGTAAAACAGACCAACAAAGAGTAAAAGAGCCGAAAAGCTGAAACGCGTCTGTCAGCTATTGCCTGACAATTATGTCACTTTTCGTCAGACTTTTTTTAAAGTGCATCTGAATTTGTAATCAGTGACTGGCAGATGGAAATCCTGGCCTGCTGGCTGACAAACTGGACGTGTCACTGAGAGGCTAATTTATGGACTGACTGAGTGACTGAATTACCAGACTGGTGCAGTCATGACACTATTGTGAAATCAAAACTGGGACATGTTCATATTTGTATTCAGAAAATAAAACTATTGGCCTCAAATAGTGTGCACGGTGCTAATTTGATAAAATACAATATTGTACACACACACACACACACACACACACACACACACACACACACACACACACACACACACACACACACACACACTTATTGTGGTGGACCTTTGTTGTGTGGGGAATTTTGTCCCTGGTAGATTCTCCCAAGGCAAACTGGTAGCCCACACTGGGGGAGAGACTCATTTGAGACCGCCTATTGGCCGAGCCTTAACCCATGAGGTTCAACCAGGTTCAGGTTGAACAAGCACGTGGGTCTTTCCTCCTGTGGGGACAGCCCCTGCATAAGGAAACATAACGGCCTGGTGCTTAATGTATTGGACAGCACTTGAAGGTGGAGACCTTGGTGCCCAATTTCTGGCTTTGGACATGGAGTGCCACCTCTTTAATGGGAAAGGAGACCAAGCCTCTGCAGGAGGCTAAGACGATACAGTTGAGCTAACCTCACCACACATATTTATATCCTGTATGTTAGAGGTTATGTGAATCAGGACACAGGTGCTGAGTAATGTTAGGACTTGGTGGACCTTTGGTCTGCATTCCAACCATCGAATTCAGGCTCAAGCTGTGGGTAGTGGACAAGTTATAAGCTCAGTAAGCTTGGTTATGTGCTAGAATCTTACTCACCAAACCCAAACGTCTTGGACATGTACCAAAGCCAAATGTCCACTCCAGTCACTTAAATTAGCAAAGGGAAGTTAAGGCCAACCAGACAGTGATTTGCTATTCCTCGTCCTGTTGACACAGCCGTCACACCACTGACTTTAAGCCTGGCTAGGACTCAAAGGTATGTCAGAAAGAAGTTACTCACCTCTGAAGTCAAGTGTCCATTAGAGCAGGGGTGGGCAACTCCAGGCCCTGAGGGCCGCTGTCCTGCAGGTTTTAGATCTCACCTTGGGTCAACACACCTGAATCACATGATTAGTTCGTTACCAGGCCTCTGGAGAACTGCAGGAGCTAATTTATCCATTTAAATCAGCTGTGATGGATCAAGGACACATCTAAAACCTGCAGGGACACCGGCCCTCGAGGCCTGGAGTTGCCCACCCCTGCATTAGAGGAAAGTTGCCGTTTGTCTAAGGCAGGGGTCCCCAGTCCCAGTCCACGAGGGCCGGTGTCCCTGCAGGTTTTAGATGTGTCCTTGATCCATCACAGCTGATTTAAATGGATAAATTACCTTCTCAACATGTCTTGAAGTTCTCCAGAGGCCTGAACAAATCATGTGATTCAGGTGTGTTGACCCAAGGTGAGATCTAAAACCTGCAGGGACACCGGCGCTCGTGGACTGGGATTGCCCACGCCTGGTCTATCCCCTCATTTATCTCATCAGCGACACACAAAATGTTCCGTGCAGCATAACATTGAGGAAAGTGGTAATGCCTTGTTTTTAGCAGAGGGATAAAAAAAGATATATTTAGTGTTCAGGATGTTTGTGACTTGGTTCATAAATCCATTTTGTGCAGCACTCTGCCTCCAAGCAGTTTTGCTGCTGTGGCTTGGACATGTGTTTTGGTCCAATGCCTTTATTTAAACAGGGTTACTACTGAAATTACTATATCAGTATTATCAGAGTATGTTTTATTTAATTATTATGAATGAATACAAACAAAATTATGGCACCAAATCTGTTTTTGATACTGAGTAGAAATGGAGGCTGAGAATTTGTGCAGAATAATCTTTTTTTATAGAAGCGAGATGTTCTTCCAGTTTCATTATAATCGCCTTTCTCTCTGCTGCTCAGCTTCCTGTTGTTTCTGATTGTCACCACAGCTTGAAAGAGCAAGGCAGACAACCGATTCACTTCCTTCCATCTTCCAATCCTCAGTGATTTCTCCAAAACACTGAAACACTGCTAAACAGTTCATCATCACTGTGTTTCATTTGGATGCGCCTGCTATTTATGCTGTTTATGGTCTGGAGGTAATAAAAGCTCTGCTCGGTTCAAAATAAACTAAATCCACCTACCAGCACCCAGAGATGGTCAGTAATCTGATTACTTTTTTCAAGTAACGAGTAAAGTAAGGGATTACTATTGCAAAAACGGTAATTAGATTACCGTTACTTTCCCGTAGGAAAAAGGTGAGATTTTTTTTTTTGCGAGAATGTCTCATGACAGTGACGTAAGCGAGTGCGACGTTCGTGACAACAGCTGTGTGCAGATCAACAATGGATCACATATCAAGTGCAGAGAGAGTATGAGCGTGCAGCGTTTAAAGCGTGGAAGTACTGACCTTACTTTGAGTTTGATTCCATAAAAAGTGACAAAAACATTAGTGTCCGCTGTGCGTGGGAAGAAAACTTCTTTTTACAGCGAAAAAACCCCTAAACTTCCAACAAGCACCGAGTAGCTACGACGTAATGGGAAACTCACAGAGAAACTCGCGGATTCTTCCACTGACCGCGGCACACCTGCACCAGGGTAACCCTCCGCCTACCCCACTCCTGCTTTACAGGTGAAAATAGAGCAACAGGACCGCCGAGTCTTTGACTTTATTTATTTTCTGCTGTGTTTTACTTGCATCTATTTGAAAGACTGAGTGTAAACACAAAAAATATTTTATTTTATGTGCTGGAATGTGCAGAAAATAGGTTTAAATGTTAAACTAATTTCTTCCAGTCAGAGAATGTTGCAGATAATTAAATTTTTGCTTGATGCATAAAGTTAAAAGATTAAAACTAATAAAACAAGTTTTAAAAAGAGACTTTTCCATTTGATTACATTTTGTATGATGGATTATGCAGAAAAAGTAGAATTGGGCTGAAAGATCTATCACTTTATCACCTCTTCAGGTTGTAAATCGTGTTTTTAAAAAGTAACTAAGTAATTAATTACTTTTGAAAATAAGTAATCAGTAAAGTAACGGGATTACTTTTTTGGGGAGGTAATTGGTAATTAGTTACTGATTACTTTTTTCAAGTAACTTGACCAACACTGCCAGCACTACATGCTTTTAAAATATTGTTAAAAAATAGACTAATTAAAAAAACAGACATAAAAAGTACTTCCCGCCTTACTGATTTCTTAGTTGTTCTTTTTGTCACTCTTACATGTTTCAGATGATCAAATAAATTTTAGTATTTGAGAAAGTTAACCTGAGTAATAAATATAAAATGAGTCAGTACTGACTATTTACCTGCTTCCTGTCCAATTTTAATATTTGGCAAAGATAACCGGGGGAATTTAAAATGAAGTCTATAAATGAAGATTTCATTTATTAAGGGGAAAAACAAGCTTGCCTGACCCTGTGTGGAAAAGTAATTGCCCCTTCTTGTTAAATCGCTCACTGTGATTACCTGGACTTTTTAGAATAAATGACGCTGAGCTGAATAAAGAAATGACTTAAATAGAAGCTGTCTGACAAAATGAAGCACACTGAAAGATGTCAGAAAGCAGCACATCCAGCCACAGTGCTGAACTGTTGCCAAACACAGACTCGTCCACTTCTCTGGAGTCCGCTGGCAGCGTGCTGTACGCCACTGCATCCAAAGCTTTGCATTGTCCTGGTGAGGAAAGGCTTAGATGATAAAGATGTTCTTCAGCTAATCTGAAGGCCACGTGAAGGTTGGAGGTCTGTAGCGACCGCCTCTGCTCTATGAGCCTGACCCTGCTCTGTGATTTTACCGGCCACCACGTCACGGCTCGGGTGCCCTCATTGCCCATCGCTTCCACGTTGGTAGAAGACCTCTAACAGCTAAATGTGCAATATTTAGTAGTGAGGAAATTTCAGGACTGGACTTGCACAGGTTTCATCCTATCACGGTACCACGCTGACACTCCTCGTGTCGTTCTTTCGTTTGTAGAAGCAGTCTGCAGTAGGTGCTTGATTTTCACACCTGAATTCAGTGACTTGGAGAGGTGACTGAATACTTTTTGGCTGCTATCTGGGAACGTTAGCCAGCTAATGATAGGATCTATAGTTTGTAGTAATCGACGTCTTAGCTGGGAAGCACAGAAAAAGGACGGGCACCCTAAAAGTATCAAAACACCAAGTTTATGTTAGGATACGTTAGCTAACCGAATGTATCCTGGATGACTGATCTTGCATCAAGACAGAAGCAATGTAGCATCATTTACTAAACTTACAGTTTCTCCTGCAGACACAGAAAAAAAGCTAACGTGAGAGCTGAGCTATTTTATTTGGAATCACTTAAAACAACGAGGATCGCAGCAGTGCAGAAGCAGCCTGAAACCAGAACACTGTTCATTCCTGTCCCAAGCTTAAAGATATATTTACATATTCATATGCAGATACCTGTTTTAGGATCATGTTTAATATTTTGGACAGTCTGTGTTTAGGTCAGCTTTGGTCTTCTTTGATTTCCTGCATTGACGACACCATTTGGAGGCAGAATTCGTTACAGTTAGCACAGTGTTTAGACATTTTAAGAAAACTATTTTAGTTAAGAAGAGCTGGGAAAAGATTTTCTGTTGCTTTAGTCATCACAGATAATCAGCCACCTCTCTCTGTCGCACGTTATCCAATGTTAGGGTGCGATTTAATCATTTAGTTGAAGCATTTCTTTGTTTCGAGCGCTCTGCCTTTCATAACTCTGTACAATCTTTTGCTTTTCACAAGTCACTTAAATCATTGACTTTGTTACTTTTGCAGTTTTTCTGTTTCAAATTGTTTAAGGACATAAACTATAGTGAAAGTATAAAGTAAGGAAAATATGCAAAATGTGCCTCGAAACATAAACTTACTTCACACCTCGAGGACAAAAGACACAGACCCTTAAAAATGCTCTTGATTAAAATCTGTTTTTGTATCTCATCAGTTAGAAAATGTCAGCATTCTTTATGTTTGTGTGAGTTTATCGATTTATATTTTCTATGTAACTTTTTACGAGTGATTTAACATTAAGTGGATTCCTCCTGCCGGCTCTTCCATTCCTCACAAACAGTTTTGTAGTTTTTTATGCCTTTCTGCAGACAGTCTGAGTCCCTTGAGCTACTGGTGCATAAACGGGCAAAAGAAAGCAAAAAGCTGCATGCAGACCGAACACATGCACTCTCTCTGCTTTCTGGAGTCACAGTCATTACGCGACACTCCAGGGAGACTCGTTAAAAACATTCTGGAGACGCAAACTTTCATTCCATTTGCAAGTTATCTGTGTGGTTTGTCAGAGCCAAAGTGTTGTGATGTAGCTTTGGTGTTCCCACGGGAATTCTGTCAAAGCACCGGCCCCTTCCCTCTTAAGTTTGTGCAAAGCTCCAACCAAAATCAGTTACTGCAGCTGCAGAAGTGTCCTGATTAACCGTGACAATGGTTATATGTTGGACTATTCGGTGCAAACGCCTGTGTGAGCCACATCAGCCGGGATGGTTAATCACATCAGCTCTACAAGATGCCACAAGCTTTATTCTGTGGATACAGAGCCACAGACCAGCACTTACCCAGTAAATGGCAATCCTCGAGTCGATCATTCTTTATCAAACCAGGCCATCCCTCCCTTTGCTTCTAGTCGTTTGTACACAGCTATCAGACCGGGGCCAGCGAAGAGGGAAAAGGACAAGCCAGGAGAAAGTAATGATGTTTGTGATGAGCCTCAGAGTTGACTTAAGTCTAGCTGCTAAATCCCCGGACTCTCACAGCCAGGCCATTACGCACACTCCATGTTTCCCCCACAAGCTGTGTGAGGGGCTTTTGGGGAATGAAGATGCTCTCATTTGAGGCTGTGGTGAACACTACATCACTCAACCCTGCGTGCACCACGGGCACGTTTCACCGTTGCCATTATGACTCCTTTCTCTCGGCGATGTAGCTCCGTCCAGATCGCACGCTGCGTTTAGCCGTCTCATTTTTGATTTTATAGAAGGATCACCTAAGCCTTTTTTTTTTTTACTGCGTA